CCCGTCCCCCTCCTCCCGGTCCCCCGCACAAAATCCGCTCCCGCGGACCTTCCCCGTCCCCTCCAACCTGCGCCATGGAGACACCGGGCTGCCCGGCCTTCCCCCCGCCTCGCCGGGCCGGGGGTCCCCCGGGGCTCCCCCGGCCTCCCACCGCCTTCGCCCTCGGTCCAGCGGGGCCCCAGCGGCGGCCGGCACCGCTCAGCCCCCGCCCCGGCCGCTGCCCGCCGCTCCGGGCACAGCCCCGGTACCTGGGGGTCGCCAGCCCGGGCCCCCCCGCCGCGGCCGTGCATGGGAAGCCCCCGTACCCGGCCGGGGCTGCAGGTACCAGGGGAGCTGCGGGTGGATGGGGGGGCCGGGGCCGCCGACCCCTCCCGGCCCCTTCTGCTTCTCTTCCCCTCTCTCTGCCCCCCGCCCGCGGCCTCGGGCTCTGCCGGGAGCCCCAGTCCCGACCCCCCCCAAGAGCGTCGTTTCGCCGACACGCTCTCCGGGGCTTCTCCGAGGTGGCTAATGTCGCGATATGGCCCCGTCGGGGACCACCGGGGCGTCCCCCGACGGGAGCCGGAGCCGCTGCTGCCGAGCGTCGGCTGTGTCGCGACAGAGAGCGGGGTCTCCGGGATGGTTCCCGTTCTCCAGAAACAAGGGGGGAAGAGGGAGAAAAGGCGGCGGGAGAGACCTGGCCCCGCTGCCGCGACGGCGGGGACCGGCCCGGGGTGGGGAGCGGCGGGTCCCCGTTCCTGGGGATGGAGAACGGCCGCAGGGGGCTGGAAAGTCGCGTCCGGCCGCCGACTCCGCTCCCCGGACCCCAGCGGGCAGGGCCGGCGGCAGCAACCGCGGAGCGGCCGCAGGGACGGGCCGGGGGCTCCGGGACCTGCTGGGGCTGCGGGGCTGGCAGCGCTCCGGAGCCCCGGCGCTCCCGGTTCCCTGGGGCTCCTCGGGGCCTCGCTACGGGGCAAAAACGCTCTCGTTCCCAGGTGCCCGGCTCCGGGCTCCGGCGCTCCCCGGTCCCCGTGTCCGGAGCTCCAGAGCAGCCGGTTCCCCTTGGCCCGGATGTCCCGGGGCTCCGCGCCCGTCTCCAGGCTCGGACGGGACCGGGCTCGTTCCCGGGGCTCTCCCGCCGCTCCTTTGCGCTTTCCCAGCCCGGCCCGTCAGGAGCTCCTCCGGGACTCCCACTTTCGATTTAATATTATTGCCCCACTTCTGCTTTAATATAAGAAGCAAAAGGCAGCGCCGCGGGGGCGATGGGAACCAGGTGGGACCCGGCAAAGCCGCCTCGGGGAACAGGTACAAAAAGCTCCGGGAACTGCCGGGAAAACCCGTCAGGGAGAACCGGGAGGGTCTCCGCACGGCTCTTACCTGTTCCGGCTGCGGCGGGGGGATGCTGCCGTTCCACGGGTGTTTCCCCCGGTTCCTGGAAGTCCTTTCCATGCCCCCATCCCTTCACTAATGGTTCTTTGAGTTCCTTCCCCTCCCCATTATCCCAGGAATTGTACAGCTGTTTCCCAGCTGCCGCCTTCCCCAGTGCCGCCAAATCTTTTGGGGGGTGTCAGTTTAGGAAGGAGTGGGAGAAAAATATCTGTATCTTCCCTTTGTCCCCCTGTGCTGTGTTTATTTAGCTACGTGCTTGTATCCCGCTCCTTCCTGCCTTTTCCTTCTTTCTGGCTATTTATTTATTGTCTCCAACGCCAAAACCCGCAGGTCACTCGGAAATGCTCCGCGTTGCCCTTGAAAAAAGGGGGGAAAAAACCCAAACTCGATGCTTTATGCAGCAGGATTTTATTTTGATCATTTTTTCCCCTTAATTTTGGTTATATTTGGGTCTGCTCTTTGGTAAGATTTGGTTTTGAATCATTAAAATCCTCTGGCCCAGCAGCTGAGCCCTTTGGAGGCCAAAGCAGGGAGGAAACGACAATTTGGCCTCATTCCTTTGCCGTTAGCCATGACCAGACAGGTCGGCACTGAGAGGGACAAGGAGCAATCCCCCCAAATTACAATTTCTCATTAACTCAAAGCAGCTGGATCTGGGCTTGGCGGCTCCATAGCCCCCAAATTGCCTTAATTAGAAAACAACCAAAAATCAAAACCGAAAGGCCGGAAGAGGCCGTGGTGGGGGCTGGTTTGGGGGATGCGGAGCCCCGGGTGGGTCTGCAGGGATGGGGACCCCATTTCCCCCTGTGCTGGGAAGGAAGATCCATCCCAAAGGAGGCATTTCCCCCTCCTGCCCCTCCGAGGGAGCCAGCGGTCCCCACCTGCAGAAACCCCGAATCTCTGCAGCTGTCACTGGGCTGGCATCAGGGCAAACCCAGCATTTTTAGGTTGTCCCCTCAGCAGATGGGGGACCCCAAGGGACCCCTCCCCATCCGCTAATTCCCCGCTCACTTCTCCTTTCCCTGGCTCAGCCCATGCGGGTCCCAAGAGCACCCAGAATCATTTGGAGCTGCCAAAGCTCTGTGTGGCCCCGTGTAGGGACAAACAATGCCCTGGGATACAGAGGTGGCCCCCAAAATGTGTGGCAGGGATTTTCCTCCTTGATCCCTTTCCATCATCCACCCCAGCGATGCAGCAGCAGCGAAGGGAAGGGGGAACCCCCAGATTTCTTGCTCTGGTCCCAGAGGAGGGTGAGGGAGTTCTTCAGCAAAAGAAGCAGAGTGGTATTTTTTACTCCTTTCCAAGTGTTTTCCTGGGAGCTGCAGCTCCAGGCAAGTGCTGGCTCAGGGGCACAGAGCTCCCCGTGAACTATCTGGGGTGCAGGGGGCTGGATCTGGCTCAGAGCCGGGGTGGTTTGAGGGTCACTGGTGGGCTCTGTGGCTCTGTTCTGGGCTCTGAGCCGGGGGGGGGGAAGGGAGTGGGAGGAGAGGGATGAGGAGAGAGGAGCAAAACTCTGCAAAAACCCCCTGTTCCTACCTCCTCTGGAGCCCCCGCTGCTCCAGCCAGGCTTTCCCCACCCTCCAGAAGCTTTCCCTGCCCGCAGCTCCCGCAGCGAGCACGGATTTTGCTCTCCTCAGGGCTGGATTTGCCCTGCTGCGTGTCCATGCTGAGCCCTTCCTGCTGGGGCAGTACCTCGGCATCCCCCGGGATGAGGGATGAGATGGGATGCGATTCCAGGGCTGTGGCACGGGCAGTTCTGGGCTTCCTTGGAGCTGTTAACACCCCCTGGTGCTGTGCCTCTCCCCCGGCAGGTGAGAAGGGCTGCAAAGGCTTCCAGGCGATTCCCGCAGCCTGCAGGGTGCCCCCGAAAGCCCCGGAGGACTTGGGGTGCCCACTGACGGCACCCCTGGGCAGCCTCCGGGACCACGGGATCCCCGAGCTCCCCGAGCCCCTGGGCAAGAGCAAGAGCAAGAAGCGGAGGAACAGGACGACCTTCAGCACGTTCCAGCTGGAGGAGCTGGAGAAGGTTTTCCAGAAGACGCATTATCCCGATGTGTACGCCCGGGAGCAGCTGGCGCTGCGCACGGACCTGACCGAAGCCAGGGTGCAGGTAATGGGCACGGAGGGGTGGGCACGGACACCCTGGGGGTCTCCAGGAGGTGAGATTCCCCTGTCTGCGAGGGATGCTGAGACAGATGCTGGTTTTCCCGTGAATATGTTAAATCCCAGATGGAAAACCTGAGGTGTGCCCTCTGCGCCCACTGCTGTGGTGTTGGTTGCCCCTGAACCCTCTGCATTTCCCCCTGGACAAGCACCCAAAGGGTGGGAAGAGCCAAAATTTGTGAGGTCAGCGCCAATCACCCCCCTCAGAACGCCCTACCGGCGACCACCGTGCATCCATCATTCCCAGCCACCCTCCCCAGCTCAGCTCCTCCGGCTGCCAGCTCAGGAGAGCAATCCCCGGCACATCCCGGGACGTGGGGCAGGATGAGACCGATCCTCGCTCCCCGGCTCCGCCGGCATCGCGCTTGCAGGGAGCTGCTTCCAGAGGTGTCCCCGTGCGGTTTGCGGCTCCCAGCAGGGAGGAAATGAAGGTGGAGGGTAAAGAAGTGAGCAGGGAGCGCCCGCTGGGAGCTGCCATCCCCAGGAGCAGGAACGGGGACAAGGCACAGGCAGGGAACGTCCCCCGAGCCTGCAGCCAGCCGGTGCCCACCGGAGCCTGCGAACCCAGATTTGGGGTGGGCTGAGATGAAAGCACCTGGAGCCCCGAGAGCCGCAAGCCGAGTATCGGGGTAGCGCAGCCTCCTCTCCGGGAAGGGCTGCTGGAGCTGTCCCCGCTCCAGCACCGAGGGGACGTGCAGCTGGGATATCAGCACCCAAAAAGCCTCGTTCTGCAGCAAAATCTGGGATAAACAAGTCCCAGAAGCTCCAGGGAAGGGAAGGGATCATGCACGGAGCAGGATGGATCATTTTTGGTGCGGGATGAGATATTCCTGCTGTTGGTAAAGGCCAGGGCTCCAACGCTGAGCACAGAGCAGCTTCCTCTGCTCGGCCCCGGCTCTCCGGGATGCTGGGGCACCGCGTCCGCCCCTTCTGCTGCAGGAGGCTGCACTGCGAGGGGAAGGGTCCCCGCAGCTCAGCCCCCTCCTCCATCCGCCAGGTTTGGTTCCAGAACCGCCGGGCCAAGTGGAGGAAACGGGAACGCTACGGGAAAATCCAGGAGGTGAGAGACGGCTGCAGCCCCTGCCCCCACTGCCAGGGGAGGGGTCCCGTCCCACCGCACCTGCGGGTGCCCCACATCACCCATTCCTGCCCCCTGTCCCCCACCCTTGCGAAAAGGGATAGAAAGGAGGAAGAATCACATTTTGCCACACTCAGGAAGAATCTGCTTTGTGTCCCACTCCACTTCCCATGGGAACACGTCCTCGGGGAAGGTTTTGGGGTGTTCCTCCTGAAGGCCCCCTTTGGCTCTCTCTCATCCAGCTGTACTTTTTCTCCTCCCCAGTAATGAAAAGCATAAAAATAATTTAAAACTCATCTTCATGCCCATCCCTGAAGCCAAACTCTCCCGGGGGGAGTATTTCAACCAGGAATCAACCCCCGCCCCAAAGGCAGAAAACGGAGCAAAGGCATCGCTCCCTTTGCACCCTGTGGGTGGCGGGGATGGGAAGGGAGGATGAGGAGGAGCTGAGGAAGGACGAGCGGGATCCAGCAGGGCTGAGAGGGATCATAGGTGGGATAAGAGGAATCCTGAAGTGGGGGAGCGGGATCTAAGGCAGAATGGGAGGAAACTAAGCGGGGCGTGATGTCCTCACCCTCACTTTGTGTTTTTTTGGTTTTTGTTATTTCAGCTGCAGAACAACCTGTGGCCGAGCCCTGGGAGCCCCCCGGGGCTGCTGCCCCCCGAGACCATCCCGTCACCCTGCATGTCCCCGTACCCCCCCGCTCCCAGCAACGGCTTCGTGGGCATTGCTGCTTCCCCGGGCCCCCACCCCGGCATCAACAGCCTCTACCCCCTGCACGGGCTGCCCCCGCCGGGCCTGGCCCCCCACCCCTTCGAGCCGCCCCCCCATCACGACTACAAAGCACCCAGCCTGATGCCACTGAGGATGAAGAGCAAAGAAGGGGCCGGGAGCCTCCTGAATTGGGCCACATGATCCCCCCGCGGGATGGACACGGAGCCCTCATCCCCCCGGAGCGCATCCCCCCTCCCCGGGGCAGGGTGCTGGGGGTCACCTTCCCCCCTCCTCTGCACGCCCCGAGCTTTCCCGCAGCCACCACCATGGTGTTGCCCCTCCGCCCCCGCTGAGGGGGCCAAAGGGGGGCTGTGGGGAGGAAAAAGAGGTGCCCCCAAATCCAGGCTGCCCCAGTGGGGCTGGCACTGGCAGCTCGGGACCCCAGAAATGGCTCCCCAAAATACTCGAGCCCTCCCAGCACCTCCAGGGACTGTGGTTTGATGGAGATTCCCAACACTTTCCTCACCCCTCGTGTGTTCCCCCCACCCAGGCACTGCCAGCCGCGGGTGTGGCTGGGGGAGCACCGGGACACGGGAGTTTTGGGGACAATTCTCCCCTCCCCAGCTGAAATTTGGCCGCTCACCCCCTGCCCAGCTCAACCAGCAATGCCAGAAATTTGGGCTCTTCCTCTCCCAGTCCCATACTGGGAAGAGTGACTGGGAGAGTTGCTGGTGCTTGGGGGTTACTGGGGGCAGGGCCAAGGAGCCCCAAAGCCCCCCCCAGAGCATCGCAGCTCATTCTGCTCCCTCTGGGAGGGGAAATCAGGCCCTGGCACAGCTCCTGGAGCCCCCTGGGATGGGCAATAAATCCATAAGGAAGGGGCTACCAGGATAAAGCATCCCAAACTAAAGGCTGTTTCCCTGGGGGGGGGTCACCCTGTTACCCCTTGGGAAGGTGTTTTAACCCCAGCAGGAGGGAACCCTCCCAGGAGCTCCAGCTGGGCTCCTGGGGGCACAGCTGATCCAGTTTGGGGGGTTCTGCACGTTACTGGTGGTGCCTGCATGGCCAGTCTTGGGGGAGGGGGACACCCCATTGTATCCAAGGTGGCTCATCTGTTCTGGGGATCCCCAGAGGGGCTCCCCAAGTCCCCACAAGGGCTGGTGCATCCTGTCCCGTCCCCCCTTCATCCACTGTGACCTCCCCCACTGCAGGGAAACAACAAAAAATGAAGCCAGGAACGACCCTGCTCATCCCGGCACCAAGAGATGCTGGCCAAACCCACTCCCTGAAAACCTGCAATGCCCCCCTGCCCCAGCTCCCACATCCTGATGGGGGGGACGCCCCTGTGGGGCACCTGGATCCCCTCGGGGAGGCACCAAAACTGCTGTTCCAGCCCCATCGGGTTTTCAGCCAAGCCCTGGCACCACTGGCCACAGTGGGTGCCACAGGAGGCAGCCCAGGGCTGCCCACCCTCACCCAGGACACCTCACACCCCCTCCCACCGGTGGGGATTTTGTTATTCATTTCTAAGCAATAAACCATATTTTTCATAAGTTAATTATGGCTCCAGCAGCCCTACAAAGCCAGGGGGGCTGGGGATGGAGATTCCCAGCAGGCCCCTCAGGCCTGTTCTGGCACTGGGAATGACATTTGGGGGTAGGATGGTGCTGGAGGCACTCAGGTGGGTGCCAGGGTCCTTGGGGACACATGCAGCCCTCCAGGAGGCACATGCAGCCCCTGGCTCTGTGCTGCCCACGATGTCAGGGTGCAGCCCTGCGCCTCCAGACGGATCCAGCTCACGTCACCCCTGGCTGAGGGGGAGGAGAGTGGGATGGGGACAGCTCCAGGCACTGATTAAGGGCATGTTACCATCGATGCTGAGCCCACAGAACTTCTCTGATGTCTTTAAGGCTGTTTGTTGCTTCCAGGGCTGGGGCTGAGCATCCCCACAGCTGGATTTGAGCTCCACAGGTTCAGAATCCCAGCAGGTGATGGGGTGAAATTGGGGCTGTCCAGGCTCCCTCTGCCCACAGCCATGTCTGCAAATCCCTGCCTCAAATCAGGGTGAATCCCCCAGGATTTCATCCCCCAGGGTATGGCTGCCCCTCAGGGAAACTGAGGCCAGGCAATGTGCAAGGCTGAGCTCTGGCAGGATTTGGTGACAGGATCCTCTGCTGGGAGCAGGGACCAAAGAAAATCCTGGTGGTAGCACCACACTGGTGTCAGAAACCCCAGGACAGCGCTGGGGGAGGGTTCAGTGAAAGGGACAGGAACATGCCTGTGAGAACCTCCCCTGAGGCCACCAGCCCCCCAGAGAACAGAGCTGGGTGCAAGGTAAGACTAAACCTTGTGGTGAGGGTCATGTACCCCCTGGGATTTGAGGGATGAGTGGACACAGACACAGCATGAGGAACTCTCATCCCAGCCCAGCTCCAGGCAGGAGGGACAGGGACACAGACAGAGCCCAGCCACGCTCGGGGCAGAGGTATCACCAAATATATATAATATATGTACAGCTCCTGCACCCCTTGTGGGGTGAGGGGAGGCCCCCCCCAGCCCCCCAATCTCCCAGAGGAGCTGGGCAGGACCAGCCTGGTGTCCCACCCAAGGACCCCACTCCCACACTGCCACCTGCTCCCCCTTCTTGGCTGGGGGGGCACGAGAAGGGTGGTGCCTCTGCAAGCATCGCATGGGGTGGGCAGAGACCCCCCCACCCAACAGGAAACCCCCAGGCACCCTCAGCTTTGGGATGAGCCTGGAAGGAGGCAGAGGGGCAGGATATGGTCTCAGTGAGGACACCCCAGCTCCATCCTCTTCCCAAGCCCACCACAGAAGTGCAGCCACCCACAGACCCCCCCAAACCTCGCTCCCCTGCCCTGGGGCAGCACCTCAGCCTCAAGCTCTCCAAGCAGCCCATTGTGCCTCCCCGTGTCCATCACTGCAGCAGCTCCTCCCAGGAGATGGGCCTGGAGAACACCTCCCGCTCCAGCCACAGGTCGTAGTTGACCTGGAAATCCTCAGGCAGGTCCACACGCTGGCCCAGCACGCTCTGCAGGCAGTTATCCACGGGCAGGAAGTCGGGGTTGCCGTGGGCCCGGTCGTAGCGCCGCGAGTTGAAGCGCTCGATGCTGGCGCGCAGGGCACACTCTTCCGCCTGGAAATCCCAGGGACGGGCGTCCAGGTCTGGGAACAGGGATGAGAGTGCTCAGAGCAGAGCTGGGGACTCCTCAGGCAGCCCAAACCCCTCGGTGTGGCGGTTAAACCCCAGCCAGACTGAGCCCCATGCTCATTCTCCCACCAGCTGGAGCAAGGAAGAATCAGGAGGGTAAAAGCTGGAAAACTGGTGGGTTAGGAAAAAGACAGCTTAATAAAGAAAGCAAAAGCTGTGTACACAAGGAAATAAAACTAAGGAATTAATTCCCTGCTTCCCATGAGCAGGCAGGTGTTCAGCACCTTCAGGAGAACAGGGCCCCATCCCAGGGAATGGTGACTTGGATAACAACACCATCACTCCCAACATCCCCCAATTCCTCTTTCTTCCCCACACTTTATATTCTGAGCATGATGCCCTAGAGTCTGGAATACCCTTTGGTTCCCTCTCCTCCCAACAACCCAAACACCCCCAGCCCCCTCACACCTGGCCTTCCACAAAGTGCAGAGCCAGCAGCCACCAACAGCTCCCAGCACAGCACCAGCACTATCTCCCAACATTCCCACCCCATCAAGCACATGGATGTGGACAAGATCCTGGGAGGGGACACAGGCCAGCTGACCCTAATTAGCCAAGGGAATATTCCAGGCTCTGTGATGTCAGATCAGATATAAAAGCTAAGGAAAGGAGGAGGAATGATGGGGCATTTGTAATTTAAAATATGCCTTCCAGAGCAGCCACTCCACGTGCTGCAGCCCAGCTTCCCAGGAGTGGCTGAACATCACTGGCTGATGGGAAGTAGAGAACAAACCTACTTTTTTTGTGCTCTAGCTGTACTAAACTACTTTACCTTAATCTACAAATCATTTCCCATCTGATTTTCTCTGCCCTGTCCAGCTGGGAATGGGAGCCACAGAGCAGCTTGGTGGGCACCTGTTTGAGCTCAACCAGCCAAGGTCCACCCAGGTCAACCCAGCGAACCTGCCCAAGCCCCAGGCAGCAGGGGTGAGCTCGGGGCACAGAGCCTGGAGCAGGAGGGCTGGGAATGCCAGGGATGCCAGGATGTACCATTGCCGTAGGCCCAGTCGTCGTTGAGGCGGTGCCGCACTTTCTGGTAAATGGCTGACATGGTTTTCATGTTGCTCTTCCTCCACTGCCGGCCCAGGTACTTGGTCTGCACCTTGAGCAGCTTCAGCACGTAGAGCTGCATCATGGCCTGCTTCACCTTCAGAGCCCGCTTCAGGATCGGCGCCGACTTGAACACCACCAGCATCTGCCAGAACATTGCCAGATCCCAGCTGGGATGGATTCCTGTGCCAACCCCTCCTCCACTGCCTGCTCGCTCCTCACTCCCCACCAAGCGCTGGGCTGTCCCAAGTCATGCCCAGGGCAGGTGCCTGGCCATGCTGAGCTCCAGAACATTCCCAGCCCTCACCATGGTGCGGGAATGCTTCCACTTGGTCAGCTTGTTCAGGATGCGCAGGAGGTTTATGCAGGAGAAGAGGTTCCGCCAGCAGAACTGGTTGTTGTCTCCAGCTTCCTGTGGGGAAGGAGATGCAGGGTCAGGCAAGGGACTGGAGTGGGGATGGGAGGCTGTGGTGATCTGAGGAGCCACATCCAAAGGGGACAGCACAGCATCTGCGCATGGAATCATCCAATCATGGAATTGTTAAGATTGGAAAAGCCCTCTGAGATCAAATCCAACTGCTCCCCCAGCAGTGCCAAGGCCACCAGTAATCCCTGTCCCCAAGTCAACACTCACACATTTTTTGAACTCTTCCAGGAACAGTGACTCCAGCACTGACAGCCTGTACCAGTGCCTGACCAGGCTTTTCACACATTTTCTTCTCCAATATCCAACCTGAACTTCCCCTGGCACAGCTTGAGGCCATTTTTTCTTGTCCTATCCCTTGCTCCCTGGGACCAGAACCTGAACCCCCCAGCTCCACCCTTCTGTCAGGGAGCTGTGGAGAGCCAGACAACCCTCCCTGAGGCTCCTTTTCTCCAGGCTAAGTCCCCCCAGCTCCCACAGATGCTCCTGGTGCTCCAG